ACAGATGTCCTAGCGGCTCCATGTTTTAAAAAAAAACCAGCCCTGCTCAACAACAACGGCGAATAACTTCTCTGTTAAATAAAGATGAAGGAAAGGGGATGGGTGGAAAGAGTTTGCGTCTCCTAAGTACTCTACCAGGTTCTATCATAGTAATCTCCGCCTTAGATCCCATCGTTTATGATCCCGATTCACTGAAGATTCCGTTGTTTAATTTAAAGGAAAAAAAAAAAAAATTATTACAGAAAAGTCACCCCTAAGATCCCACTCCGGAGTCTGAAGTTCCCGCATTTTAGATCATGTATTACCAAATTACTGAACAAAAAAACGTCATGGATCATCCACACTCATACACATACGATCACATCAGAATCTCCGCTCTAAATTTCTCGATGAGCGGTACAATGTTCGCCTCAGGTGCGGGCCAGACAATGAAAGGATCACACCCAGGTGTGAACTTTTCGACGCCATTGATTTCTCCCAACATCGAACTACAACAAGGCGTCATTCGGTAGGCAGGGCCATTTAACAAGACGTACCGCATTAGATGGAATCACATTGAACTGCGATTTCATCGGTGGCTTTGTTTTCCTGACGACATTCTATCAGGTGTGCATCCGAATTTTCAAGAACGATTTTGCGCCTGTACTCTGGGACTGTCCGATCACCTTTGTGTAATGTTGAGCGCAGCCTTTCATAATTCGAATTTTAATTGGTGCGTTTACAAAACAATGATGAGTTACGACCTGAATATGAGCGGTGATTTCGGTCAGAGATGAAGGAAAGCAATAAATACTTGACAGGCAAAGGGAGGAGCAATGAGGATAACACTTCATTATTATTAATGGGCTAAGGAAACCAACGACACAAGCTATCAATTAAGACTGTAGTATTTGCGCATCAATACATTTTGTACATTTTTATCCCATTTTAAAAGACAAAGGATAGAAATCTTCTGTAATTATTATAACCTTTTCAATAGTTAAAACCATTGGGGGAGTGCGTTAAAAAAAATCAAACAAAATTACTGTGCTGAATATAATTCATAGACAAAGGCATTATTGTAAGCAATCAGTTAAAGCTAATTTTGACTCTCTTTTGCTCTTAATAATCTTGTGTGGAGGCCTTGACTATCTTAAGTGAAGGCTTTTAACCTATGCTTTTTAGACCTGAGACAACGTTGTCCTTTATGTACACCATAACTCAAGAAAGCTAGTAATGGCACTCCCCTTGAATCATGCAATCATTGTGTCAAATTCAACACTTTGTGGACATTAATTTGTGGTATGTTTTAACAACAAATCTTACAAATCCTTTCAGCAGTAAGATTAACTCTCCTGTCTGTTTTATAATCTTGTGTGACTCGGCAAGACAACTGGGTTTGTTTTTTTATCCACCCCTCCCGCTTCCCCTAATCTCCATCCCACCCACCGCCTTTCATGATTTTCACGACTAGTCAACATAAGGATCAAAACGTTAAGTTCATAGACAGTCCTTATATTCAGACCCCCC